GCGATTGATCCTATTGGTGGAACTACCGGGACACCCGGTCGCTATGATGTGCACTGACCACCAAGGTGCAGACGTTCAATGCAGGAGCTGCCCTCTGGTGGTCAGTGTGCTCCCACAGGGGGAGTTCCATTCAGCCACAAGCCAGGCTGAAGGCTGCGAGCGCAGCGGTGGTGGCGGGAGCCTCTCCCGCCTCCTGGGCAGTGGTAAGGATGTCTGACTGCGAGAGGGCGCAGGCTGGGCTGAGGGATCCCCCCAAGTGCACGAATTTCTGTGCACTGGGCCTCTAGTGAACAGATAACAAACTTTCCTGCTACCATTTACCTCAGTTCTGTAAGATACAGTTTGTCTGTGTTAATCCTTCACACAGAAGTTTCATTACTGAATCTTCCGGGGTATTGTTTTATAAATCCCAAATCTGTCAGATACTGGTTGGATTCAAATACTAAGGAGAGGTCCCTACTACAAGAAGCTGTCAGGTGGCAGTAAATTAGTCTGTGTGGAGAAAAAGACATTTCTGAGAAGAAAAAAAATAGCATTCTCTTTAAAGGTACCTATTTGCAACTTACTGATGTAATGAATTATTTCAATAAATTCAACAATTAATTTATTGGGTGCTTTCCACTGTTCTAGATGCTAAAAACACAAATAATTATGCCCCAGACCCTGCCCTCAAGGAACATACAATTAATGAGGAAAAATGAGAAAATCATGGATTATAATATAATGTGAAAAATACTGCAAGTAGTATGGACAAAGTACCATGAAGACACAGAAAGGTGGCACAATTCAGCCTAGCTTTGGGTGGGGTTTGGAGGATCAAGAATACTTATAAGTGGAAGAAATAACTGAGTGCTGTTGTGAAAAGGAATAGCAATTAAAGAGGAGTTAGGTGGATGAGAAGAATGGGAGTGGGGAGAGGCGCTGAGAGACAATTCACTCATGGAGCAACCTGTGCAAAGGCCAAGAGGAAAGAGAGAGGATGCTTAATTTGAGAAACTGCCAATTATCTGTTATGGCCTATTTTAAAAGACTAGAAGGATATATCAAGCTATTAGCAGTGGTTAGCTCCCAGATTGGGGGAAGGGTGGCGTTACAGGGAGCCATTTACTTTCTAGGTAAATAAATATTATTTATATATACAATTATTATATACTTAAAAATTATAAGAAGTTATAAGAAAAATGTTTTTTATTTTGAAAAATGTAACATGTTTATTAATAAATTATTTTTACAGTAGAGAAAAAATAAAATATATATTTTTTAATGTACTATATTCCTACCTCTCAGAGACAACCAATGTTAAAAGTCTGGTGTATACCCTTCCTTCTTTTTCCAAGACACTTGTGCAAAGAGACACACCCACACACCCACACACGTGTGCGCATACACAGATTCGTACATTTTACAAAAATAGAGTTATAGAAAACATTACATCAAGTTTACATGCGCTTGTCATTCAGTCCCATTGTAAGCCCATAGACAGAAACTGCGATCCGGTTATAGCACAAGGTGATATAATAAGTGGCAAAGTAGGGCTCTACCTGGGTTCTGTCTGGTTTATCCCATAGGATTCAGAAAGCCATCGGAGGTTTAAAGAGACATGATCACCCCTCTGATGATAAGGTAGGACAGAAGACAGACCTGACATCAAAAGGCTGCAGGAGTCCAGAGAAGAAATAGCAGGAGATGGGGGTGACGATGGTGGGGGGTGTGACCGACCGCAGATTCCAGACAGTCTCAGGAGTATATAGGGCTGGGATTTATGACCATTACAGTGACCACAGTGCTCAGTACTGGGTCAGTGGGGTATTAGGCTGTTTTCTGGCCCCAACACCTTCCCCAGTGGGAACCTGAGGCCACTGGGAAGATTGGACTCGTCCGTGTTCTAGAACATTCCATTTCTAGGAGGAGAGCGCCTTCCTGGAGTGGGACAAACCTTTGTGGTGGTGAGAGAGGGTGAAGTTTTTTTATACACGATCACAAGTGCTTTGCATTCTTAGATCTAAATCTTTTCTGACCACTCCTGTCTCTTCCACCTTCATGAGCTTTCAACAGAATAGTGGGTCCCCTGATGTCCTGGGGGTGGGGGGATGGGAAGGATATTCCTGGCGCATTCGCTCCCACCCCTGCTGTCTCTGGAAATTGGTACAGTCCCAGGGTATAAGGCTCCAGGGTTGGGGCTCAGCGTTCCTTTTCCCCCGGAGCCATTGGAAGGAAAGGTACCCTACCTCTTTGGGCGTGGTGAGAAGCGGGGCACAGTGCAGTCAGCGGGTGTGGTCAGCGGGCGTGGTCCACGGGTGTGGTCCGCAGGCGTGTCCGTGTACACTTTCTTTTGCCCACCTTTTGAGAAACTGTGGGAGTATTCTGGCTGGCTATCACTATCATTGGGGGGGGGGGGGGGGGGGGGATGTCTGAAGAGGGGGAGGGGAAGCGGATGGGAAGAGCCTTGGGGGCGGGGCTAACGAAAAGCGGAGGCCCTAACAGAGGAAACAACTAGTTGATTTATCCCTACAGTGCAGCCAGGCCCCTAAGGCCCTCTGCTATCATGGCCTTGAGACCCGAGGACCCCTCTGCTGGGTTCCAGCATGGCAATGTGGTGGCTTTCATCAACGAGAAAATGGCCAGACACATAAAAGGCCCTGAGTTCTACCTGGAGAATATATCCCTGTCCTGGGCGGAGGTGGAAGACAAGCTCAGGGCTATCCTGGAGAACAGCGCAGTGACCAGCGAGGCCAAAGAGGCCTGTGCCTGGGGTAGCCTGGCCCTGGGCGTGCGCTGTGCCCGCAGGCAGGGCCAGTTACACGCTTGCAGGGTGCAGTGGCTACAAGACTTCACCAAACTGCACAAATCGGCCTTACAAGCCTTGGCCTCCAACATGAAGGAGGTTACCGAGAAGCACGAAATGGAGTGCAAAGAGGCAGCCTATCAGCTGCAGCTGACGCTGGCCAAACTGGCTGAGGTTCAGAAAGAGAAGGAACTGCTGAGGTGGAAGCTTCTCCAGGCTGTAAGATTACCCCACTTGGTATTACCCCATCTTCCCTCCCAGCCCCTCCACCCCCTGAATGGAATTTAACCCTGCCCACTTCTCTACAGGAGATGGTGTCTTCCTGGGAATGGCAGCAGGTTTCAGAGGAGCCAGGCCTGGCTACTACCAGTGTGTTTGGGGCAGAAGGAGCAGGTGAGGAGAAAACAAGGCAGAGGTTGCTGTTCCTACCACTACTGCTAACTGCTGCTGTAGAAGGAGGAAGACAGAAGGATGCAGAGGGGGTATAGAGGGTGGAGGCCTCCTGCAGCTTTGTAGAGCAGAAAACGTACACCTATGGCAGGCAGAGGCAGGGACATCTCAGATCAGTAGAAACAGCCATGCTTTATTTTTTCTGGGACTCTCAAGCCTAGGTCCACAGTCTCACAAGCAACCCTTCCTGTCCAGCTCCCTGCCTCATTCACATACCCATTCTAATACCCCCTATTCCCTTCCCAGAAGCACAGATACCATCCCCACCATGGGCAGCCTTCGCAGCAGGAGCTCCATCTCAGGCTGCCTACTGGGGCCCCTCTATGGAGGGGGCCCAGGGAAGAGATCCTCAAGAACCCCAGAGAGACCAGAGAGCCTTTGAGCCCCAACAGCTGAGAAGACCTCCAGCATCTCACAGGCCCGGGGATTGGAACTGCTCTTGGTGTAACCCTGTGAATTTTTCAGGGAGGGAAATTTGCTACCACTGTGGGAGGGGCACCTGGTTACAGAACCCTTAAATTCAGAAATGTGAAATATAACAAATATATCCCAAAGGGATATCAATATTTGGTGGGGGGAGGGGCTGTGTTGAGTGGGGGTAAGGGAATGAGTGGGAGAACAAGACTAGTGGAGTTGGAGGGAGGCAGGGCGGGAGGTGGGAGAGAAATGCTTTGATGATCCTCTTTGTGTTCCAGAGCAACGGTCACCGACCGGTGGTCTGCAGACCACTGGTGGTCCACGAGGTCCGAAAGGTTGGTGACTGCTGGTTTAAGGAAACCTTTGGAGCAGCGTCCACCAACTGTTGGTCCGCGGACCACTGGTGGTCCATGAGGTCCAAAAGGTTGGCGGCCGCTGTTCCAGAGCATAAGTATTCGACACCCAGAAGTGCTGTTTATTTGTATGTATCTCTCCCCCACCCTAGTATCTGAGGGACCTGGTTACCCCTCCCTCCCTACCGAGGCTCTAGATCAGCCGTGGGCAAACTACGGCCCACAGGCCGGATCCGGCCCATTTGAAATGAATAAAACTAAAAAAAAAAAAAAAGACCGTACCCTTTTATGTAATGATGTTTACTTTGAATTTATATTAGTTCACACAAACACTCCATCCATGCTTTTGTTCCGGCCCTCCGGTCCAGTTTAAGAACCCATTGTGGCCCTCGGGTCAAAAAGTTTGCCCACCCCTGGTCTAGATTATTGCAGCAGGAGTAGACATTTGACCCATCCTGAGCCAAACAGATTGTCACACTAGAGAATCAGAAGAGAGACAGATTTCATAGTCAGGATGGTGTTGGGCAGTGAAGCAGTGGGTCAATTGCAGTTGAGGCCAAGGTCAGAGCCATGGACATGGGGGCCTCAGCCAAGGCCTGGCTCTGGTTAAGGGGAAAGCAGAGCCATGTGCTTTACAGAGGCCACGTGTCTTAGAAGACACCAGTATGACATCCCAGAGAAAAGAGGCACAGAGAAGCAGAGAAAAGTTGATCCTGAGACCCTGGAGATAAAAGAGTGAAGGCCCAACCATTTTTCCACTTCCTGCCATTGTGCTGTGTAAAAATCCACTCTACCCAGATCCCCTTTTCTTTAAGCTAACTGGAGCTGCTTACTCTTCTGTGGAACCAGATTATTTCAAAGTCAGAAATTGGCACCAGAAGAGCAGTGACAAACCACAGACTGTCAAAGAAAATGTCAGAACTGGCCAGGGAGATACCTCAGTGATTGATGGGTAGTTGGGATTCCTGCTCCCAAGAGTATCCAGGGATGAACTTAACAAGAAGCTCATTCATGTTCTGAGTGAGTTATATCAGAAGAAATAATCAAAACAGGCCTGGGGTTAACACCCCCGCCCCGGGCTTACAACAGTAGAGATTTGCCACCCCTAAGAGAATCCCTCAGGGCTATCTACAGAAGACACCACACCAGCTACAGTCGAGAAGGACTGCTGTGACTATTCAGCCCATGACAAGAGAATCCTCCCCAGTTCCCAGTGAGCAGAACTGGGGACAATCAAATGTGAACGTGGAACAAAAGCCACTGCCAAGGTGAGTCAGCAACTGTAGTGCACAGAGGGTTTGCTGGTCTATACCACTGACCAAAGTATAGTGCCATCCTGAGGGATCCTGTCCCCCCAACCCACCACCAGGATAAATTTGGGAGGGGAATTTGGGTACAAATCCCTCAGTGAATTCAGAAATGTGGAATAGAACATATCCCGGTGGGAAATTAAATTCCAAAGAGAGGGGGTGACAGGAAAGAGGGAGGGGGAAGATGGTCTTCCTCTCTACCTTTCATGGCAATAAGCTTTGTTGAGAATGACTAAATGCATAGTTTAGCCCACAGGTGGAAGGATGGTGAGGAGTCACACCAGACTGAGACAACTGGAGGAGCCCAGGACATCACCTGGCCACTGTGGACCTAGAGACTGAAGTTGTCATGGCCCTGCAACATCTCTGCAGCAGCTGCATGTGACTGGGCTATTTCCTTTTGGGGCAAGTGTGGATAACCATCAGAATTGGGGACAAGATACCTAGTTTGTACTTATCAGAAATAACCTTGGGCTTGTTTATATCCTTCTAGGGCAGGGCTTCCCAAACTCAGCACTCTCGACATTTGGAGTTGGATAATTCTATGTTGCAAATGGCTGGTACACTGTAGAATGTTTGGCAGAATCCCTGGTTTCTACCCTGATGCCAGTAGCACATCCCCTAAGTTATAACAACCAGAAATGTCTCGAGATATTGCCACATGTCCACTGGGGGGTAAAATTGTTCCTCGCGGGCAACCATGGAGGCAATGAAATACTTAAGAGTATTCAGAATAGGGTGAAGAGAGGTGCCAGGGGAGCAAGTCAGCAGTGCCCAGGGCTGGAGGGGGCCTCTAAGACAGGAGGTAAAAAGTGTTCATTGGGTCTGGCATTCACTTTTGATCTTTGAGCAAATCTGGGTGGGGGAGAAGCAGAAGCCAAACTGACAGTACTGAGGAGAGAGGGAGCAGGAAGTAAGGAAGTACAGTCAGCGAAGGGAGCTCTTCAAGGACTCCTGGCTGTAAAGGGAAGGAGTGATGTGAGATACATAGCTGAGAGGGTTCTTTTGACTATGGGAGAAACTGGAGCCATGGGGAAGGAGACAGTTGAAGAAAGCTTGAAAACACAAGAAATATATAAAAGAATGGGACAGATCCTGCCCTACTGCATTGGAGGACTATCTATTCTACTGTTCAAAAATATATGAAAGGTCAATTTTGTTTTTTGTGAAACAAAACCCCCAAAAGTATTGTGTATATGTATGCTATGTATATTAATAGATGTTTTGTGTGCCTTATGTTACAGATTTATATTTGAATAAGCAAAAAAAAGACACTTAGCAAACAAGGTATTACCTAGGGAGACTGGGATCAGAGTCAGGGGATGGAAAGTAGGAGTGGATGGGTGCGGGGGATATAGGGTGCATTGGGGTTGGTTACAGTAAGGCACTAGGGTGGAGGAATTGTATATCTTCAGGTACTTCTGTGCTGTGTAAAATGAAATAAATGTTCACAAAAATACAGAAAAAGGAAATGAATTTATTGGCATGAGTAGGTTTAGAAAGGCCATCTCTTCTTTTGGGGAGGGGAGCACACACTGATCTGTGTGGCGAGGTGGTGGGAAACCAAGGGGGCTCATGCCTGTGTGAGTGACATGGACAGATAACAAGACAAGGCACTTGAAAGTGAGTGAGGACAAAAGATCAGGGCAGAGGTGGAGGCTTCTGAGCAGTGGCACTTTGGGGAATAACAGCAGGGGAACCGTTCAGGGAGAGAAAAGGATTATCAAGTTGCATGGAGGTGGACAGGACACAACTGAAAAAAAAACCAAGGGGGAAGACAGTGGGAGTCTCGAAGGAAAAGGAAGTAAGTCCAGGACCACACCAGTCTCTTAGGAGTTACAGATTGCCACCCACTGACTACAGCAAAAACAGCACATGCAAACGGGAAAGAGGCAGGAGGGGCTGGCAGGGATCTGTACCTCATTCCCTACTCCTAGGCTCAGCACGTCTTTTCTTTTGCTGTACTTCTATGGAGAAATTGAGCACTAGTTATACTTTGTTTTCAGGTCCAATCAGCCAGGATTTGAACTCTAGACATCTAGTGTTTACCTGCAAATACCTAAGAGTTTGAAGGAAATTTCAACTTACTTCAGGTCTTTGGTTTTGCAGTATAGATTGCATAGTGCTTGGCAGAGCAAGTATAGCTGAGACACTGGCAAACTGCAGTTGGAAGGACCTAAAAGAGATGAGAAGGCAAAAATAATTTTTTTAAAAATAATGAAAACCAAAAATTTTAAAATGCTTATTTTTGCTTCAGTTACCATATTAGTACTAATCTACCTCTTGCAAAAATCTTAGGAGGTATGGACCCATTTTGCAGATAAGGGAATTAAGGCACAAAAACTTAACTTGCCCAAAGGCCCATAGGTAGGAACAGAACACAGGTCAGTACTCAGGTCTGTCTGACTCCAAAGCCAAAGCCATGTTATTATGTGCCAGGCACTGAGGTAACCACTTGACGTACACAAATTATCTTATCTGGTCCTTAACCCAGTGACAGGCACTACAATCACCATTTTGCAGATGCTCAGAGAGGTTAAGCTATCTTGGTTGTCAGTACTAGTAGAATTAATGGCAATAATTAAGAATTAGGAAAGTTCAGTAGTAAATTCTCAGTCAACATGCTTGAGAAAGCAGTATTTTGGATTAAATTTTGAAGAGATAAAGGCAATATGGTAGGGGGTAAAATTCCGTCTAAAGCTGATTTTCTGGAAACCCTGAGGGAACCAGAATTCTCTTTTTGTTTCCATCAGTGTTTAAAAAAATTAAATGTGTTTATCCATTATTTCACTTTAGAATATACAGTTGGATTAAAGCTGTCATAAATTAGTCAAGATATTGTAGTCAAAGTTCTTCATAACTCCAAATCCATGTAACCTCTCCTACCCTTTCCCCTGTAAGTGCCAAATTCTTGCTGCACTTCCCCTCTCCATTTCCCTCAAACACATACCCCGTGCTAATTTCTACCACTATGCTACTGCCCCTGAGGAAATACAACTCTCAGAAAAAAGACTCAGGTTAACTCTCCTCAAATAGAGCCTTCTGTCCACTCATCTCCTCAAGGCCACTGCCCCTCAGCTGACTCCACACTAAAGGAGAGGCACTGTCAATCTTAACTGGAATACTGAGAACAAACTTAAGACCAATAACATTTTCTATGTACCACAGATTTATGTTTTCTTGGATGCTTTAGTCCAGGGGTCCTCAAACTATGGCCCGCGGGCCACATGCAAATACAAATATTGTATTTGTTCCCGTTTTGTTTTTTTACTTCAAAATAAGATATGTGCAGTGTGCATAGGAATTTGTTCAGTTTTTTTTTTAAACTATAGTCTGGCCCTCCAACGGTCTGAGGAACAGTGAACTGGCCCCCTGTTTAAAAAGTTTGAGGACCCCTGCTTTAGTAAGTTAGTAGAAATGTATTGTGTAGTATAGAATCTGTATTATATAAATACTACAGGCCTGATGCATGAAATTCATGCAAGAGTAGGCCTTCCTTCCCCTGGCTGCTGGCACCGGCTTCCCTCTGGCACCCGGGACCCAGGCTTCCCTCCAGCCACTGGGACCTAGGACCCGGGCTTCCCTCTGGCCACTGGCAGGCCTGGTACCCGGGCTTCCCTCCCAGCCCAGGCTTCATCTGGAAGGTCGTCTGGAAGCTACATCTGGTCTAATTAGCATATTATGCTTTTATTATGATAGACTAGAGGCCCTGCACATAAAATTCATTCGCAGGTATGGTCCCTAGGCCTGGCCTGCGATCAGGGCCATCTTCCCTGGGTGCCCGCAGCCAGACCTGCCCCCCGCCGCCACCCACCCCCGGTTCCCTGTTCGCCATCAGGTGATCGGAGCCTGCCGGCCAGGGAAAGATACCAAGAGGTGGTCAGTGTGCCTTATAGTGACTGGTTGAAGTAGTCATTCTGCGGTTAGGATCAATTTGCATATTATCCTTTTATTATATAGGATAGAGTCCCGGTGCACGGGTGGAGGCCAACCAGCCTGCCCTGATGGGGGCCCCGGATTGGGGTGTGGTTCCCCGCTGGGGGCGGGGCCGGGGCCGGGGTGGGGCAAGGGTCCGTGGGCAGTTTTCAGGCCGGCCACGCCCCTGATTGGGGTGGGGGGCTCCACGGGGGGCGAGGCCAGCCGGGGCGAGGAGCCATGGTCGTTCTGGTCTCTGGTCATTCCGCCGTTTCGGTCGCTGAGCATTTATTATATAGGATATATAAGCCTCTTTGAATTTTAGCTCTTGACCCTCTGTGAAGGTGCCAAGTCTGGTGGAAAGAGCCCAGGCAACATACACAGGAGTATAACTCTATCCCTTACTAACTTGGAGCTCTCTGAGGCCTCAGTGATGAAGTGTATGTAGAGGAGAAAGACGACCAATTCAGTATTAAACTTATAACCTTTTCCAGTATAGTCATCAACACCAAAATAGAGTCCTCAATGATAATCTTGATGACTTACATACTCATAATGAATACATCTTAATATAGAGTACATTCACAGAGTGATAATAAAGACTAACAGACACACACAGGTGTATACATAGTGGCTAGCCCAGTGCTTGGCACATAGTAAGTGCTCAAAACTGTTAGCTTTATCTGAGTATCTACCTAGGCCAGTGTTCAATATATGATAGTTATTCAATAAATCCTTATTATGTTGGTTGACATAAAATATGGAATGTAGAAATGATTCATTTTATTTAGGGACAATGCTAGAAATGATCGTGTACCTGAATACATTAAAAACAACAACAAGGCCCATCATTTTTGAAGACCAAAACACTGGAGAAAGGGCATTACTCACTTTTTAGATATCAAAGCTGGTAGTATGAATGCTAAAGCTCATTCTTCCTCAAATACAAGTAAATGCTGACACTTCAGAGACACTGACAGGCAGGAGACTGTGACTGATTTTTACACAGAATGACATAGCCAGAATGTCCATTTTTGTTTATTTTTTGTTAATCCTCACCAGAGGATATTTTCCATTGATTTTTAGAGAGAGAGAGTGGAAGGAAGGGGGAGAGACAGAGAGAGACACAGCAATTGATTGCTTCCCACACAGGTCCCAACGCAGGGCCAAGGATTGAGCCTGCAACGGAGGTGTATTCCCTTGACTGGAATTGAAGCCAGGACCCTTCAGTCCGCGGGCCTACGCTCTAACCATGGAGCCAAACTGGCTAGGGTTCCTTTGATGTACTTGGAAAAATAGAACAGATACACATCACTCAGGGTCTAAAATGACTTCATAAGAGTCATGTCACCATCTCCCTGTGACTGCAGGACACTGCAGATCATCTAAGAGATGATGGGAAGAGAAGACATAATATCAAGGGCTTCATTTTCTTGCAGACCATAAAAGAACCTCATTGTTGCATCAGCACCTGAAAAGTGACTCAAGAAATATTTTCTCAATACTCGAAGGAAGAAACATGGTGGCCAGTAAGTCTGGAGTGAGGGAGAGAATGTGAGTAAGTAAGGGAGTGAGTGTGTTTGTGTGTGTGAGGGAAAGTATGATCGATGGATCACCCGGGAGCCTTGGGGGCAGACGATTCGGGCTCTCCTGGCCAAAAAGTCTCTGCTACCGTCACAGCTACTCCCTAGGCACAGCTCCAGCTTGGAGAGCATGCCACCTTGAAAGGTTTATAAGGTTGTACATAGGAAGAGGCTGCAGAGAGCAGCAGCAGCTAGGCACAAAGTCTTACCACCATCTGGACTCACCTTGACCTGGGCCCAAACCCATGTACATCTCCCTCTGGGGCCCACAGAGGTTACAACCCAGAACTACAGGTCTGCAACAGACACCAGCAGGGCTTCTCTGCACCTGGCACACTCAGCCAGCCTGAAACCGTGCACCTGATGGGACGCAGCCTAGACATTGTGCCACTGCCATTGAGCCACTGACCCAGCAGGGCTCTTGTCCCTGCTGTGTACTCAACAACTGCCACTGCTACTGTGCTGCCACCACCACTCTAGAGCCCAGCTTCTCAGCTCCATCATCACAGCTCAGGGGCAGAAACTGTGCTATAGGGTGGGAGGTGGATGTAGCCTCCCCTGACATGGACCTATGAGAACTGAGGACCTGTGGAGATTAAAGAGGCTGCAGATCTGTAGGTGAGACAGGAGGGCCTGGGACTGAGAGAGGAGGCCTCAAGGGCACTGGCTGTGGAGACTTTGGAGTGGGTGCAGCAGTGGAAGCCTGGGGCTGAAGTCCCTGGATAGAGTCGCACTAGCACCCTGCCATAGTGCAGCCTGGGGAGCTCCTCCTGACCAGTGGGAAGGCCACGCAGTGGAGCTCAGGGCCAGCCTACATTGGAAGGATCTGAAAGACACACCCAACATTGAATTTGGGGGGCCTTCTATTTCTTGGAGGAACTTGTGTGTGTGAGCAGAAAGGGGACTGGACAGTAGGTCAGGAAGATCAGCCCTGCCCACCTGGAACACAGGGGAGGTCCCCTCTTTCCCACCAGC